CGACGTCGGCGAGGAAATATGTAGTACCAAGTCTTGAAATCTTACGACACGATTGCACCGCCGCGTTGTATCGTTTTACTTTCAAATGTACGCGCGAATCAACAGCGAATAGATTATCTTCGTCGATAGTGTCTCCCAATATTTTCGTCGGCGTTCGCACGGATTTATGCGGACAGCGGTCCACGCCGGCGAATTAATTGGATTAAATCGCCCGCAGTTTAATATTCATTTCATGCCTTATAGAGACGCCGCGAAGCTCGCAATCCGTATAAATTGCAGTGCCTTCAAAAAGCAATTTCATTTTGTACGTGAAGTTACCGCGGAATATGAAAGCAGGCTATCTTCTCCCGACAACCCTCTCAATTAGGAACCTAACTCTCGTAGAAATTATTATACCAGAAAATGTTCGGGACGATGTAATACCGGGATTACTGCGAGTGCGCATATGACGTGGAAGGCGAATGTTTGGCGAAAAAAATCAAATTTCCCGACTCATCGCGACAGCCTCTAACGATCCGACTTGCACTTCGATCCACTTCGCGTTAAAGCTCGCAATTTTTTCATAAGATAAGACGAGATTGTGCCAGGATATACTAAAACAAACCGCGCGACTCAATTTGTTCGTGTCAAAAAACAAAGGCTGCTTAATTTCTCTCTGTATTACCAAGTTATTGCAGACAATTGATAAAATTAAATTGAAAAATATACAGTGCGACGTTTCGACCAGGAGTTTAGGTCCTTCTCAAGCACATTCTCAAAGGAACAAACCGATAATCGGGATTACAGGCTTGTCGAAGATACAAATTAAATTAATAGGCAATGAAAATGTGTACAATAATAATATGTAAAATGAAACAAGATCACAAATAATGAGTGCAATAAAAGATATAGTTTGTCACAACGGATACATAATATAACAAACTGAAAATAAATCCTAGACCAGTCAATTACCTTAAAAATGAATCAGGCCAATGTAACATGCAGTCAAATGATAAAAATCCAAATGACTGTTTATTGTTTAATTATTATATCAACTGAGCGTTCACACTCGGCCGATTGCGAGATGCCAAAGTAATTTTGAATAAAATGCATACACATGTATAAATACAAGACTTCGTCGTTATGCACATTAAACTCTCAGAAAAAATAAAGAAGAAAATATAAAGCTGCGCCCTGGCTGCAATAACCCTCTGTAATTACGCGGCTAAATCACTGTCGGCGGAGTTATTGCAGCGGAATACTTTCCGCGCGGCCGAATGCGCCAGCGAATGCCCGAATCCTGGCAGAGCGTCAGGTTACCCAACTTTCCGCAATCCTGACAAATTTCTTTTCCCTCCTACCCGACCTCTGTACGCGCATTATTTCCGATTCACCGTGAAAATCGATGACGCGACTACTCTCGCGACATTCGAAACTCCAAAAAACGGCCCCGACCCGCCGCAAACATGATATCAGCAGACTTTCGGGGGCAACGACACACTGAACTAAAGCGAAAGAAAAATGATATCGGACGTACTAACGTACTACGCTCGCACATGTCAAAATACACTTCGGGTTTCCGTTAAGTTAAGAGCGCCAGCCGCGTATTACGACAAGCTGATCTTGGTTAAATAAATTAATTTATGTCCAACCGGTCTTATTTTGTTACTGCGTTCATCTTTATTTTAGAAATTTCCACATTTTAGCTCGCGCTGCCCCGACTCACTGAAATCAATTAAAAATTCTTATTGAAGCGTACGGCGAGTCGTATACGCTTTCATAAAATATTAGAACTCTTTAAAGACTCTTTTTCTCTGACTCGTACACTTTATCTTGTTTAATTATAAATTGTCTCGGCCATCCGTTCGTCGAGATCTTCCTTGCGCGACTTGATATGCTTCCGACGATTCTTTCGAGATGCGACACGGCTATCAGAGTTGAATGACCATTTTCTCCAAATTTACATTTTTATCCTAATAGAATTGGACTCTCGTCGGGTATCGTCGCGAGTGAAATTCTACGGAAGAAGCCGGCAATCTCGGCGAAATAATTGGCTCCATTACAAGCTTAATGCGCGCCGAAATTATGACGGCGGAACTTTTGGCGGCATATGCTCGCAGCCCGACACCGTCTCGATTTTCCAACGTGCTTTCCCCGTACGATCTCGCGAAAATTTTCCCTCTACCTTCGCCCGCCGCTCTTTCACGCCCTTTCCAGCCCTCCGCCCGTTCGCGTTTCACCCGACGCGAAATCGACAGCGGCGCCGGGTCGGAGGATTCCCGGCGCGTGACGCGCCCCGAAATTCGAGGTTTTAATTGCGCCCCGGATATTTAGGGGAGGAAGGAGGACGGAAGGCATTAATGGACCGAGGCGGAGCTGCAGCGCGACGTGCTGGTGCAGCGCGTGCACTCGGACAACAGGGCGGATGTTTAATTGAGCATTCGGTCGCGCCCGCCCGAACGCGAATGTCTCTCATAATCCGGCGTGCCAATTAACGCTATTAGAGACATCGAGCGCGCCAGCACGCGCCCGGCCGACGCAGCGGTCCTCGATAAATCCGATAATTGATTGTGGATCGACGCATGCGGCGGATAATTACGAAAAATCCAAGGCTCGCTTATTATCTCGCGGGAGCGAATCGTCATTAGCGACAATTTTTAAGGATAACATTTGGAGGACTTAACATTGTGACAAAGGGAGATCGCGATCCCCCCCTGACGGTACACGCGCGGTGAGAACTTTCTCTTTACCCTCAAAACCGTGGGACAACGTGGCACTTTGAAAAACTTGACGGGAGCTTTTTCAAGTTTCACCACACATTCTACTACACCCGGAAAACAGTTTCTTTGAAACCGAACGAATTTTCTTTGAATTTTGACCTTACTGGACTTATATTTAATTTCAAAGGCATGACTTCTTTACCTGAACCAAAATTTTATTTGATTAAGTTGCTTGACTTTAATCTTGGTTTAATTCATGGTTGTCTCGTTCTGGAAAAACAGTTTGAAAGAGACAAAGAACGAAGTGAGCTAAGCTCAAAGTTAAGCGGGCCTAAGTCTGGAATCTCTAAGAGAATTTATATCTGTGTCTTTAAATCGAGCGATGTTTTCGCGCAAGTAAATAAAAATTTAGCCGATTCAAAGAAATCTCTTTCATTTAACTTAAATAAATCCTTTTTCTGAGCGTAGCAACGTGTATACTAATTGTAAGTAAATTACATGGTAAAATTTCAGAAAACTGTCATGAAATTCTTGGAAATGCCATGTTGTCCCGCGATTACATGATTTTCAGGATAAATTTTAAGAAGAAAATTCTCCCCGTGTACGAGCGACGAGAGAGATGGAGGATACAAATCGGCCTCCTTCTCTCGTTTTAAACGATAAAATGGATAATTTCTCTATGAAAAGTAATTGCGTCGGGTAGTAAAGCATTAAAAATAATTCTATATTCAATTCGCTATTATTCGGAATAATCTATTAAACACTCGCGTATAAATTACGTAGTATTTCGAAAGCATAACAGTTACCACGTTGGATTTAATTATTAGTCCACCGAGTGATTAATTGCCCGGAGAATTATGGCTCTTGGCTATTGTCCCGCTGTAAACACACGCGGTATTCCATGTCAAACGCGAGTAAAATTTAGTAATTTTTCGCTTCAGCGGTCACAAGCGCGACCGTTTCAATCGACTCTGCCGTTGCCGTGCTAATTTCATTTGTCACGTAAGCGGAACGCGCGCGCTCGTATCAATTATTGCCCCGCGATTTTTCCACCTCCCTAATCTTTTTCGAAATTACGCGGTCGCGCGATTCTGTTCATCGCGCGACACTCGCGTGTGACATTCGGCGCGAGTCCGATATTAGCGCGGGGCCACCTCGACTCCCCCGTTTAATTACGATCGGGAGAAAAGTCGCGCGTTCGATCTAATTGAAAATTAATCCCCTTCGTGCTGAGCGAGCGACGCGGTCGCGAAAGCGCACGGAACTTATTCGCGGATTCGTCTGTCGCCGGGAGATCGTTTCGACAAAGTAAATGGAAATTCGAGTCGCATCGATCGAGGGGAGGAAAAAGCGCGGGAGAAGAGAAAAGGAAAACAAAGCGGAAAGCCTCTCGAAATCGCCCGTAATATGTAATCGGACTCGTGTCGAAGTCAAAACTCAACGCCGCTCCATCATTCACTATTCATCATCGATGTGTACAGACTCGCTGAATTACCTATCTGAATTTGATTTATTTTGCCGGAATTCTATTTTGCTTAATAAGAAAAGGCTCCCATCCATCTCGCCGCCAGCAACTCGCGGGCCATCGCTCAAAAGGTTAAATTCATTATTTGCGAGGGCCGCGTCTCAGCCATTTATAAATTATCAACGAGCACACCCGCGCTCTGTATCTTCCGCTCGCGAGTACCTTACACGTGCAACGCGTCCTTATCACGGTTCGTCCGCCGCTGAAGAACGTCGACTCGAAAAGTTCATCTCGCGCTTACCCAGGTTCACAAGTCGATGATCAAATCGATATCGATCATGATTTGATGTATAGAAAATATCGAATCAGTGTCGATCAATTATTGATGATTTAGTTGATGTACAGTAGATATCATGTTCAAGTCGAGTCGATAAATGGAGATGTTGATTCGATTCAGTATGATATCAATTGAAATATTACTGGATCATGAGCATCTACAGAATATTTTCCAGATATCGTAGCGGAATCTTCTAAATATCAACTTGATTATTGACTTGCACGTGGTCTCAACTTGATTTCAATATGATATTCGCCAGGCCCGGGTAAACTCGCAAAGCCAGAGAGACCTTTCTGACACCCTTCCTCCCCTTGTCCTACCGATCTTCTCGACGAGGATAGAATGAACGAACGAACGGACGGACGGGCGAATGAACGAATGTGCGAACGCGGAGAACTCCGGGTAATAGTCGAAAGTTTATAAAGTCTAACCGGAGGAAAGTAACTGGTTTATGGGAAAACTTTCGCCACGTCCTCACACGGAAAATTTACGTTCGCAGCACTTCCGAAGAGGGGACCGGAAATCACAGGCCTGTCCTTGCAGTACGCCGTCGGCGAGAACGTGACTGCCAACTGCAGTGCCTGGCCGTCCGTGCCTAAGGCCAATCTACGTTGGACCATCAACGGCGATCCGGTAAAGTACCTTTCCGCATCCCCGGCGCCAGTCAACTTCCCCGAGGCCTCGTTCGCTGTACCGGCGTATTGCACCAGCGGCGTGTACGTGCCCGCCTGCTTGCGGGGGAAATGGCCTCGTGTGTTCTTTAGATCGGGAGAGTTTATACAGACGAAGCCCTGTATTAGTTTATCCTCGCGTGGGGGAAGAAAAAAGCCTAAAGTGCACGGTGCTCCGGTTCACGCTTTATTACATTTGCTTAAAGATAAACTTAATGCATGCGTGAAGGCTTTGAAAGAGAAAATCGATGGACAACAGTTGCAGCAATGTGTAGCAAACGTAGCTGAGTAAAGCCAACGGAACACGATACTATTTCTCCTGGATTGCTTCCGAGAACCAATAAGGATGCAGAGTTTTAAATCAGGTGACTCAAGGCTAAATTCTGATTGGCTTGTTCCTGTCTGCGTAAGCAGTCCGTTAGGAAAAATAGTATCGTGTGCCGTTGGCTTAAGATCGAGCTCCTTCGCTGGGAATCGATAAGATAGGAGACGGAATTAAAAACGTCAATTATCAACATTTTTAATTCCAAGTTCTACTTTAGATGTCACCTCAGACTGGTGTTTCCTAGAGATCTTGTAATCAGAAACTGGCCATAAGAGTTCGTCCAATTCCTGCGAGTGAGAGAGAAACATAGGAATTCGACGAACTCTATGGCCAGTCTCTGATTACAGGGTCTCTAGTGTTTTCGGCAGCAGTGAAGAAAAGGTTGGAGGGCGGCCCTCCGATCTTGCACCCTTAGCGCAAGCTGAATGATTTTTGCATTTCTATAAAGCCAATTAAAAGATTACTTCTAACAAAGAACGTCGATAAAACAGACGGCTTTAGGATCCCCTTAAGCCTTACGTGTTAAGTGGCTCTCTAATATCATAGTTAAACTTCGCGTCACGTTTTTCACCGGGAAAAAGCGGCTCCGGTTTCGCCGACGGATCCTTAACGGGAAAGTCGGAGCACCCTGCACGTACACACGACGGGATTGATTGGATAGGTACACGCGTATACACTCCGATCTCGCCGGTAAGCTGCTTTCGCGCGGCGGAATCTGATTTCGCGTAAAGCGATAGTGTCCGCGCGCAGAGACACCGGCACGGCGACGAGAGCGTTGTCGAGAGAAAATCCTGTTTCCTGCCACCGGCTGCCGTGACAACGAAGTCGAGGCCTCGAGGCCTACGCCTCGCGCGCGATTAGTGTACTCGTCGTTTCGCGCTACGGACGCGAGACTTCGAGGGTTTTGTCTTGCTTCGTTCCCGATGAGACGAGGACGATCCGGGGAAATTTACGGCAAGTCTCGCTATCGCGGGTGTTAGCGAAGTTTACGTTACAGTAAGCTGGAGATTGAAAGCAACGCGATTTAAGACTCTTTTTTTCAATTTGGATGAATTCGAGCCCGCCTTTAATTGTTACGAATTGAAACTTTTAGTCCCTTACATTTTAATGTAGCGTACTTTTTTTGTACGTGTATCTATGTAGATGTGATTACGTAGAAACGCGTTTTTATCTACGTAATGCCAAAAAATATTTAAAAAAGAATTAAACCGAATTTGAACTTCGCTGTTGACGGTTTTTTTCATGAGGTAGACGTGAGACGAATTTAAATTCGTTTAAATAACGCAAAGCATACACGCGCGTTTAATGATTACAACGGAGTTCTAACAAATTTTTCATAATGCCATGATAACTTTATGTTCGCGCATTATGATTAAATTTAATTCTTAATTTAAATTCTCCACGAGCGAGCTACGAGATAATATGCTAAACGAATATTGCGAGTAGCCTGTATAGTACTCTCACTCATTAAAGTATGCACGGGATAACGAGATTAGTGGAGCCAAAACGTGCAGTATCCTTTGATCAATTTAGAGCCAATTTTACCTTAGGGAAAATTCGATTGGTCCCGCCACATCTCTTCGCATTTTTTTATTTTGCCCTTAAGATCAAATGTTTCGATACGAGCGCGTTTGAAATAAAGAAAGTTCTTTGACAAAGCTACAATCAACGTGAGGTGTGACACGAGCGAGAATATTTATCACATTATTTGCAGCCTGGTTTAACTCGTTGTCTTATATCTAAATTTTCAGAACAATTTTAAAGCTAAACCTTTTTTACCACGTTACAGGCGTATCGCGGGAGAATAGTCAGTGCACGCAATTTCCTGCTTCATTACGTTCGCGAACTAAAAAATATTAATACCGAGAAGGAAACGGTGCGAGAACAACGCGAAGTGTAGTAATATTCGCGGAACAATCGGCAGGGCGGGTGGAAAAAAACCCAGCGAACGGTTTGCTGAACGGGCTCGGCGAAATGTAAAAGATTGTCGTGCAATGTGCGAAATGTGTTCCTTAGAAAAGCGTAATTTCGCGCCAAATTGATCGCCGTCCCCGGATCCAAAGCAAATCTCCGTTGAACCGTCAACAAAGCGGCGGGCAAAGTACATTTCTCTCCTTTGCCCGGAGCACTCTCGGCACTTTGATTGTCGCGGGCGTTTCTGTAAATTAGAACAGACTGCGCGCCTCGAGAAAAACGGCAAATTGCTCGCAGCATCGCTCGCGTTTTGTATGCAGGTCGATTAACCCTCGTGGGACTAAGTTCTGGGATTGTAACATGGCGAATTAAAACTGATTAAATTATCCCGCGATCTAAAACACCGCGTCTAAAACTCCACGTTTCCCCATTCAGTACTGGACCTTTCCCTTCCAGCTTGTAAAGGTATCCGTCCTTTAATATAAAATCTTACTTTGAGTGATTTCGTGAATAAATTAAGAACTCGATCAACAGCAAATAATTCGATTAGAAGTTTAAATGCTTACACATTTGTTGAGCTGCCTTACAAAATTAACGCCAGTCCTTCTAAAATTACGCAGTGCCTTAAAGATCCGCTAAAATTTATTTCAATTTCTAAAAATGTGCATTTCACGAATAACATTCGCTTATTATTAATAAGTTTATCACGCCACTAAATTATTTTGTTCGACGTGACTGGCGACATACAACGCGATACGTGCCATGTATTTACGAATTTATTACATTTTATTTTTCCGGCAGTAAAACGCAACCTCGCGAAAACTCTTCACTGCGTTTTTTTTTTATCTTTTCCTTCCGTGGAATCAATGTAAATTTTCTTGAAAGAAACATACAGAAATATAAAGTTGGCGATTCTGACAAGCTCCCTCTTGTCTACTCCGCTTCTACGGTCGATTGTATTTTGCAATCGCACATGGTATTACTTGGCGAATAATTCGAGTTTACGATTTCGTGGAGATGAGGAAAGCATCAAGTGCAGCTTTATCGCCCGCTCCGCAAAAAAGTGTACACGGAAAATTGACATTTTTTTCATATTCCACATAAATCGATCGATCGCATGTCACAAGCGTTACACATGTCCCGCCGATACGTATAGCTGTTACGGCAATTTTACCTCGCGCACCGCTTGATATAAGTTCGCAAATAATTCGAATTTACGATTCGCAGAGGATGGGAAAGGCATCGATGCGGACTTTATCGTTCGTCCCAGGGTGGGAAAAAGCGGAAACAAGATTTTTTCGCGTTCTGCGGAGCGATGGATCGATCGTAAGTTATCGCGGCATTGTGCACGGTGGTAAAGCCGGGGCCTGGCCGACACAATGGCTGGTTGCGTGCCTTTTTATTAACATACGGGCCGAAACTGCAATCGCGGTCGATATAGTGACATATGGCCACGCTGAAAAGCACCCGTGCGCCACTTTTTACACGTAATGGCTCGAATCCGACGTCGGTCGCACGTCTTTTTTTTTCCTCCGGCGCGGGGTGATATACGGGCGGCTGGCATCGGCGAGATGGGAATTTAATGCGAGCCCATATTTGAATGATACGACGCTTTTTCAGCGACCAGCGCAATGGTAATAGTCTTTCTTTATTATTACGCCCCTACGCGAACAAGTTTCGGCCATTTTTCAGGCGACCCGCCCCAAAGTCGTGCGAAAGTTTGCGCGACGATCCGAAATAATTCCTCCAGTTCGATTCGTAATATGTGATATATGAACCTATCATGTTCTTATCTGCGCCTACATGTCGAATCATTAAATCACTGTGGTGAACAATATTAATTTTTCTTTTTTTAACAATTGTTATTTGTGCGTGTGTGTGTGTGTGTGAGACACACCTAGAAGAAAAGTTTGTTTAAGATCAAACAAATTTGCTCGAATTTTGACCTTACTAGATTTTTATTTCATTTCAAAGAAATGAATTTTTTACCTTAACCAAAATTTTATTTGAGGCTGGATTTTCTAAGAGAATTCATATCTATTTCTTCAAATCTACCAAATGTTTCGGTAGAAGTAAATAAAAATTTAATAGGTTAAAAAAACATGATTTTAACGTATCTCATTTGTTTAACCGCTAACGCAAGTTTCCCAAACGTAGATCAATTTAAACAGCAATCAATTATTAATATTAAAGCAACGATATCTCGCGCAAGATTTTGTACAACTGAAATCAATAGATACATCTTTCTTTCTTCCGAACGACGCGAGAGAGGGACCCTTTCGAGGAACAATTTGTATTCTCTGCGCAGCGCGCTCGGACCCGTAATAAAATGGGCGTCTTTATGCGAGAGGAGGAGCCGCGCTTGAACGTGATCCCGAAGAGGCCGTAAAGTCCCTTCACAGTTTTCGTCGCGAATTCGCGGATTCCCGCGAGTCCCGCACGGGGCGTCGTGCACATCAAAACGCATTTTCGAGAAACTACAACGAATCATTCGGGAGAAACGTAGCAACGATTGGCCGGATTTTAGAGTCCGAAACGCTCGAGGGCTGGATTGTCCCGGGCTACGCCGATTCTCGAATTATTGAAAGAAACCCCCCCCTACCGGCATTTTATATTATCCCTCTTTGCGAAGGATGTGATCGTCGTACTGCCCGCGCCCGACGTCCTCCCTTGTCCTTGCCGGAAGCCTCGCGCGCTTTGGGAGGAAACTCTCCGGAAGAGAG